CGGAGGCGTGGAGGGCTGGGCCTCGGGCGGGGGCTCGGGCCCCGTGTCGCGGGCGCCGTCCAGCCGGAGGCGGGTGCGTCTCTGGATGTTCAGGTAGATGCTGAGGTTGAAGAAGGTGACGCTGAGGAAGGGTGTGAAGAACTCCAGTGTGGAGGCGGTGATGAGGAAGTACCAGTTGTAGAAGAACTCGGCGTAGCAGTGGCCCTCGGGGATGGAGCTGCCCCCGGACAGGTACTCCCAGCTCAGGATGGCTGGCCCATATAACAGGAAGGCCAACACCCAGACCAGTGCCATCTTCTGAACTGCCCTCCGGGTGTCACCCTGCTGGGCCCGGTAGGAGACCTGCGCGGGATGAGGCGTGGTGAGCAGGGCTAGGAGCTCGGGAGGCCTCTTCTTTGCAGCAGCGCTCCCCTCCCCCTCCCCTGCCTGTGCCCCTGGCCAGCCCCTGCCCTGCACACCCTCCTCGAGCCTCAGACCCTCCTGGTCAATCCACGTGTCCCCACCCCCCCCCGGGCCAGGAGTGTCGCTGCGGCATCTGCTGCGGCATCTCGTAAGCCCGAGCCGTCTGCAGAGCCCTGCTGTGCCTACAGGGAGGACCCGGCTCTGCCTCCACTTGGTGCTCCCCAACCAGGGGGGTTGGAGATGCGAGAATGACAATATCCATGCTGAAGACCCCCGGCCCCCACCCCCACCCCCCGTCGTGTCAACGGCTCTGGAAGAAGAGTGGGTAGCCAAGGTAGAGTCAGTAAGTACTTGCAAAGGAACACCATCTCCACCCTCCAAGGGCACAGAGCAACCGGGCAGCAGGGCAGAGCAGCAGGAGGGGCCGCGGGCTCTGCCTCAGGTAGAGCTGCCTGGGGGGGAGGGGACAGGGCCCGAGAGCGGCCTGAGGCTGCCCACTGGGCACCCTGGGAGGTGACCGGTCACTGCTGCGCACAGGTCAGCGAGGGGCCTCAGGGCGCCAGCTCTGTGCCAGGCGCCCTTTGGGTGTGACCTCATTTCATCTCACTTCAGCCCCACGACTGTCCTGCTTTCCTGGTGGCTGGAGGAGGTGTGAGAAGAGCACCACTGAACAGCTCAAGAGGACTCCAGGCTGGTGCTCACTGCTCAGCACACGGTGCCTCAGCCTTCCCAGGCTCAAAGGAAACCTGCTCCCCTGGCCCAGGGTGGCCGGGAGCGCCCTCGGGTGGCAACCCCGCCAGGAGGCGGGGAGGGAGCTGCTGCAAACTCAAGCCACAGCGCCCACCACGCTCCCATGCCGTGAGTCCTGCAGGTCCAGAGCTAACTCATGGTCGCTCCTCAGTCTTACCAAGAGGAGCCTGGGCAACCAGAACTTTGAGCCTGCCTCCCTGGGGCCAGGCGTGCACCACCACATGCACACAACACACAGACACTCAACGCCAGGGACGCGTGCTCCAGCGCCGGGCTGGACTGCGGGCCCTTCCCTGCAGGAACATCTGATTCCAAGTGCCACCAAGTGGCACCAGATGGAAAACCTGCACATGTCAGCGCGGAGGCCAGTGAGGACCAACCCCACAACTCAGAAGTGGCTGGTGGCCGCCACCTCCCAATCCCTCCCACGGCCACCTCACACCACCCTCCGCAGGCATGAGCCCCGGTTCCCGACACGGGACTCACGGCGCGGGTGACGGATAGGAAGCGGTCGTAGCTGATGAGCACGATGTTGAAGACGGAGGATGTGCACAGCAGGTAATCCACCACCAGCCACAGCTTGCACAGGCCCCGGCCGAAGGTCCAGCGGCCCGTCAGCACGTAGGGCACGTACAGTGGGATGCAGAAGGCACCTGAGGGGAGAGGAGGACTGTGTGGGACCACGGCAGGCAGGGGAGTGGGGTGAGCCCTGTGTGGGAGCAGACACAGGCACCCTAGGACCAGCGACCCTTATCTTACCCTCTCCAGGGCACAACTTTTGGGGTCCCAGCCTTCAGCCTCAGCATGGCCCCCAGTCTTCCCCCCCCCCCGCTGTCTCTTGGACTTGGGGGGAGGGGGCAGGAGGGAGGATTCAGACAGAGGATCTCTGAGCATCTTAAGACCAGAGCTCCGGCTTCTGCTCAACCCTCTCAGCCTGCAAAGGGAGGAGGAAAGAGTCTTTTCCTCCTTCCCAGCCCCTATCCTGGCGGTTGGACAGCCTTGTTCCTCTGCTGAGAAGCTAAAACAGCCTTTCTCCTGGCTTAAAGGGCGATTGGCTGCCGCCCCAGCCGCTCCCACCGCCAAAACCGGCTCCCAGCGTCTGGAAGACGCAGCTCGCAGCCCCAACAGGTGTCTGGCGCTCGGCCCCCTCCCTGCGCCCCGCCCCCCGTCGGCAGCAGGACGCGGACACG